ACCAGTTGTACCAGATAGTCAATGCTTTGAAAGCCATTAGTATGTTTACTTAAAATCCTTGACGTCAAGGCTCATTTTCTCACACGAGCTCTCAGATGATTAAGAAGTCTGAGTTTTTCATATTTTGTTTATTTCAAGCTTTCACATTGGGAGATGTTATTTGGTTCTGTGTTGCTTTTTATTTTATATAAGATCCCAGTCAAAGTACCAAAGCAAACACTCCTTGGTTTTTATTTTTGGTTATTTTTATTAACACTTTCTTGAGAAATAACTTTCTGGATTTTATGAAACTTTCTGTTTGACACAAAGCTTGTGGGTCACTCTACCATCCAATGTGATGAAAATGACAGTATAATATGACTTTTCTGTTTTAGAGTGAATTTGTTAATTGAAAAAACTTACATTACCTGCTACCTTTTACTCTACGTACTAACAAGGGTGGGTTATTTTATTTTTTTTTAGCTCCGTCTTTGCTTCTGGGAGAGTTATTCAATGAAAAAAAGAAAAGCAGTTGGCATTTTTTGTTTGTCTTGTTAAATCAAATCTGTGCCCCTCCTGCAGAGGTACAGTATATATCAAACTGTGATTAGGACAAACTGTCACATTCTTAGCCAAAGCTGTCAATATCAAGAATAGTATAGGACTCAGAACAAGTTAGATTCAGATTTTCTTTTAAGCATTGTTCATTAAGTGATTAAGTTAGACCCTACATATACATTTATTGAGTCAAGAATACTAGTAAAGCATAAAGTTAGCATAACTTTTCAGAATGGTATTTTGGTGATCTGCCAGTGTGACAGTCCCCCTGTCACTGCTGAAAGCACACTGGCACAAGGATGTGGTGTCAAGCATGTCAGCACAATCCAGAGATTTGTCTTTCTTTTAATTACCTTTGCATGCTCAGGTGTGGCTAACGCTGAATTTTCTATTTTATTTTTTAAAGCGAAAGATTGGTCTAAATTATCATATAGTTTACCGGCTGACTAATAAGGAAAACGTAGGCGTGCAGGAGCAAATGTAAGCAGATTTTTTTTTTTAAATGAGATAATTTTGCAGAACTATCATGGAAATATGATAATTGAAAAGGAGAAACGCAAGATTAGACTTGGTTGACATGTAGCCCTCCATGGGATTGGAGGATTGGCTACGGTGACTGTATTTTATTTCTGTGACTCCAAAGGTGTGTGTAAGTGTTCGGGGAGGGGCAGTGTAAATTTATTCAAGCTCAGGGCTGTGTATTTATTGGTTTGGTTTAGTGTCACACAAAGATGGACAGGTTTGGCCTATTGTTGAGAGTAATAAGGGTTCTGTGAGTCACACACACATACAGTATGTGCACAGTTCCTGCAGTCTGACATTCCCACCATGGTGTTTTTCTTGGATCAGCTATACTTTACCCTATACATCATGTGATGTAGCAGCTGTACAGTACCATTCTCAAGCAAAGGAGCGTTGCAGCTTACAGTTCTGCGGTAAGATTCTGATGACTGACAGCCATGTGGGAATGTGTCCATATGGAAACATTTCTCACAGTATGAGCTTGTTGAGTGGCTGAGCAGAATTGCTACATATCCTTGATGTCCCAGAAATACTTCGTAGAAAAGGGAGAGATTGTGAATATGTGTGTGTGTATGTGTGCGTGAGTGTTTGTGTAGTTATGTGCAAGCTGTCAGCAGATAGAGAGTGAAAGGTGGGGACTGCAGTATTCCTGCAGCGGGAAGCATTGATTTTCTGGTCTTGCATGGGGATGTGGGAAATGTCAGCCTCTAATTGAGTTGATAAAACCATTTTGAGTCTCAGACGTAAATATGGTCTCCCCCCACCCACCCCCCAGGCACATACACACAAAAAGGCCACTGCATTAGACAAGTCCCCCTTGGAAACATGTCTGTAAGAAATAAAAGGTCCACTTATTTGTGTGTGAGTTTACGTGTGTATGCGTGTGGTGCTGCTTTGTTGGACTGTACACATCTGCAAGTCAGCACAGTGAGACGGAAAGTCAGGCAAACATCTACTGAATAAAAGGTTTTCTTTTGTTACGAATCGGGAGCAAAGCTTGTTAGGATAAACAGTTTTGTTTTGCCAGAGATGGCAGAAATGGATATTGTGATGGCGATGCAGAGGTCATATCCATTAGAGGTGCAGAGGGTGAATGGAAAAAGGATGAATGAAGCCTCTGCTGTCTCTGCAGATTAGAAGATTGATATGCAGAGAGGGCAGAGGACTTACCTGCTGCCTTTAGTAGAAATTCATCTCAAAGTCAAAAGACAAAGGATGATCTTAGGTTCAGTTCTGAGGATTATGTTATTATTTTCTTCCTTTAGAATAAAATCAGTGGGGTTTATTTTTAACTTTCAGTTTGGTTGATATTACACACTAACAAAAAAGTTACGCTATCGTATTGAATGATCTAGATCGCTACATGTGTAGACTGTGGACACAGTATGTGAGGATGGCGGCTTAATGGTTAGAGCTGTTACCGCACAACAAGAAGGTCATAGGTTCACTTCCCAGTTGGGGCCTTTCTGTGTGGAGTTTGCATGTTCTCCTTTTGTTTGCGTGGGCACTCCGGTTTCCTGCCACAGTTCAAAAACGTGCATGTTAAACTGCCTTCAGGTCCAGGCATCTCTCACAATGGGATTTGCCTGGTTAAATCAAGGATAATAAGCAATTCACTTTGCAAGGAACTGGCATGTCTAGATCAGGCACAAGGCATAAGTGGCAGCATTAAGAGTGAAACAATAGGGGGTATCAGATAGTTGCCAGGGTTTTTAACAGTCAGTTAAAATAAACAAAGAGGGTATCTTGCAGCTTCATTAAATAGCATTATCAAAACTTGAAGGAGTTATTTAAGGGTGGAACTGTGGGTTTGCGACAAGTCAAATGATTGTATTGTGCAGCTGTCCAGCATCTAAAGCTTGCATTTGTCAGAGTGGTTTGGTGTTGGCAAAGATAGGTGCATGAAGCCACCCAAAGACATTATAAAGGTTCTGGTCACCCAAAACAATGTACAGTAGTCCCTTGCTACTTCGCGGCTCGTTTATCGCGGACTCGCTCTATCGAGGTTTTTCAAAATAAGATTGGACATGACACACAATTGGCTGCTTGATGGATGAGCGACATGACTGGCATGAAGTTTTTATTTAAAATAAATTATTAAGTATTTTAAGTAGGAACCTTATATTTTTATTGCTGTACATACATATATATATATATATATACTAAGGTTTTATAAACCCTTCCCACACTCTTGCAATGTTCTAAACCCTTACACCTACATAATTTTAACAACATACATATACTATGTACTGTACAGTACTGCTAAATTTTATATGGGTACTCACCAGCTCTGTAGACCAGCAGCTTGGTTCCAGTCAGGCTCAGGTCCAGTTCTGCAGACCTATCCTGCATTGACAAAGCCCCCCGCCCCGTCCAGGTTGATGTGCGCGTGAATAATTGAGTTTCAGGAAGCTTCAGGATTATTTGTGACTTTCTTGCCAGTTCTGTGAGCTTCCTAGATAGATTGTTACTTCTGACTTCGAGTTGCATAACTTTCCCACCGTTTCAGCAGAAAGCACTGTTGGCTTCTGGGTAGTGTAGTTCTTTTGCCTGGCATTACAATATAGGCTTATTGAAAGAAAACTACAAAATGGTGGCACCTGTCCAAAGTATTTTTTTTCTGTTAACTTTTTATCCCTTATCGTCCCAACTATGTGAGTAATTTTAAAGTTGACAATCGTGTGTCGTGTACAATCTTACATCGAAAAACCGCAAAAGAGTGAGTCCGTGAAAGTTGAACCGCAAAGTAGCGAGGACTACTGTATTTTCAATGACTTCTGGTCACCTCTGGTAGTAATTCTGGGACCCTGATAGCAGAATTCTACATCAGTGACATCAACTCTGAGCCTGGATCAGTCCAGTCCTGTATATTCAGTCAGTTTGTATTCACCCACTAGCAGAGCAATATTAGTCTTTTTGCCACAGTCCAACATCCTTGTGTTCCTAGTGCTTCACCCAAAATCCCTACTAACATGAAACCTTCAGTGTTATATATTTTTTTTCTGATATTGTACTAATTGCAATACAGTCACAATTATTCAACGCATGTGGTTTTGTTTCAGTTCTTGAAACTACCTCTCTGAGTGCGTAACTTTTTTGTTAGCAAGTGTATAATATACTCTTTTGAAATACTTGACTGCTGTAATGAAAAAAAATTGCTAATAGTGTTCATCAGTATTACACTTATCAGTTAATCAAGAAAGTATAAAGCTGTGAAGAATGGACACATATTGTATGCCTGTTTGCAATCTATACGACCTTGCTTATAATATTGGGGGAGGAGGGGATAATTAGACAATGTTTCATACATTGGGCCACACGCACTCACACATGCACATGTTCTTTCTATTCCTTTCACATTCATATGTGTGAAACTAAACACACACACACACACACACACACACAAACTCTACTGGTAATTACTGACATAATTAGGCAGACAACCATTCGTATAGGGAATGAACACTTCTGAAAACAGACAGACACGCACACAAATACACACATACAAAGACACACATTACCTCCCTGGTAATTAACAGTATTAATTACAAGCATAGCTGTCCCTGTGAGGCTCTGTATCACTCACAGACGGCACGCAGCAGGGTTCTTATTACTTTATCTGAACACAGTATCACCACTTCTCTCTATGTCTCCTAGTCTCTGGTTACACATGCGCACACATTTTTTTCAAATATACACCTGCTGGATAAACAAATGTTTGTTAATTAACTGGAGACTGATATCTGGCCACTGGTAAAATGCAGTTGCTGCAAACATGAGGGAGATTTGTTTGCTAGAATTGGAACAGCATACCTGAAAGACTTAAACCTGATTCAAGATGGCCACCACAGCAAAACAACCTCAGGGAACACAAAAATAGCTGTACCTCATTCATTTTTACAAATATTGAAGAAAGATTTGGTGTGGTATAACCCATACCCATGCTGAAATCTTTAAGTTTGATATGTAAGTAAAACTATGCATTTCATAAAGGATTATATTTTAACAGGTTTTTTTAAGCTTAGATCCAGTTTTGCACCTATTGTGATACTTTTACTAAAGGTTTCTTTTTCTTTTTCTTGAAGCTGATGGCTGCACAGATTGGTCAGTGGACTACCTAAAATACCGGGTGCTTCAGGGTGAGCCAGTACGGCTGAAGTGTGCTCTCTTCTACGGCTACATCCGGGCCAACTACAGCCAGGTACAGAGTGTGGGCCTCAGCCTCATGTGGTACCGTAGCTCTGGCCTTGGACACAGCGACTTTGAGGAGCCCATCTCTTTCGACGGAGTTCGCATGAGCAAAGAAGAAGACGCCATCTGGTTTAGGCCTGCTGACCTACAAGACGTGGGCCTGTACTCCTGTGTCCTACGGTAGGTTTTTAAGGTGCATGCAGTTTTGGGAAGTTGTCACGAATACATTTCAGTCCAAACTCCTGCATGTTCCATGCATCCCTCCATCATCTTTACCTGCATCTTCCTTTTTGGGTCATGGCGGTCACTGGTGCCCATATTCAGCCATCACTGTGCAAGAGGCGGGGTACACCCTGGACAGGTCTCCAGTCCATTACAGAGACACATAGAGACAAACAACCATTCATTCTCTCTTTCACACCTAGAGACACTTTAGAGTTATCAATCAGACTAACATGCATTTGTTTGGTCTGTGGGAGGAAACCGGAGTACCTGGAGAAAACCCACACATTCATTCATTCAAACTGTATTTAAACAGATAAGTCACATGGAGCCCCAAAGACTCATTTACAAGTGAGACCAGTTTGGACAGACAATAAAAGTGATAAGCTGGACACATGTAGGAATTGGAGGCGAAAAAATTCCTATCATACTTTTTTTTTCCTGCCTGAGAAGAAAAAACTCTGATATTAACAAACACCTCGCACAAACAAGCACATAGTGACATAGACATTCTGCAGAGGGGGGAGGCGAGAGCGGTGAGATCAGTCAATGTCCTCCAGTGAGATCCATAAACATTCTCGAGGTATGTCGAGGAATGGTCAAGAATAATGACTATGAGAATCCAAGAGTCTTGAAATGATGACACAAAGTTTATTCCGCTGCGTTCATCTGGTTATTGGTTGGAAATTCCTCAGGGAGGGGGTGGTGAGCTTCAGATCACATGTTCTCTAGCCAGATTCAGATAAGATGACCTTCAAGGCCAGCCAAGGGAGCCAAATTCAAATAAACACACATTTGTTTTGGGGACAGGCAGAACTTAATGACATCTACCTTGAGTCTGTGTTGGTCCACTTGGTTCCATCCATCCATCCATTATCTTTACCCGCTTATTCCATTTTGGGTCACGGGGGTCGCCGGTGCCCATGTCCAGCAATCACTGTGCGAGGGGCGGGGTACACCCTGGATGGGTCGCAAGTCCATCACAGGGCCACATAGAGACAAACGAGACAAACAACCATTCACGCTCTCACTCATACCTAGGGACAATTTAGAGTTACCAATCAGCCTAACATGCATGTTTTTGGTCTGTGGGAGGAAACCGGAGCACCCGGAGAAAACCCACGCATGCACGGAGAGAACATGCAAACTCCACCCAGAAAGGCACCTGGACCGGGGTTTGAACCAAGGACCTGCTCGCTGAGAGGCAGCAACTCTACCAGTTGCGCCACCGTGCTGCCCTCCACTTGGTTCCGAAATGTCCAAATAACATGGCCACACGATGGAACGTGACTGAGTAAAATCCCTGAAATCTGATCCATTCTGCCCAAAGCATTTGAGTCTGGGTACTCGAGGCATGAACCAAGTCATCATAAAGGCAAGCAGCGTGATCGGGTCCAAAATTTGCTGCCGACAACTTCCTTGATTGTAGATAAAACCAGCAACCAGATGAATCCAAAAAGCAGAAGCCAGTTATCGTAAATCCAATTAAATATCCGTCCTTAAAATCCACAAGTGGCAGCAGAGATAGACACATCATCAAGTCTTCCAAGTCGATGAGATATCCAGCTGCGTGCATGCCAACAGGGCAAATCGGCTCACCTAAAGCTGTTTTCTCTTTGAAGAAATGTTATAAATTGAGTTGAGGGACCAACTGATCAGAACAAGTCCATAATTATGGTTCGGAGGATATGCAAGAGAGGCTCAGAAGCAGTTTCACAAACAGAGCAGCAAAGCAAAGCGGAGAGGGGAGAAGCATCTGATCTCGGCAAGAGCAAGTGGTGAAGTGCACATGCACAGAGAGAACATGCAAACTCCACCCAGAAATATTCCGGGCCAGGATTTGAACCAACAACCTTCTTGCTGAGAGGTAGTAGCTCTACCAACTGCACCACTGTGCCACAACTCCAGCATGTTAATTCTGAAAACCGAACACTTTCCCCAAGAACTGTGCGAGTTTAAAGGTCTATATCAAAAGCCTGGTTCAAACTGAAAATGCAAACCAGGTTGAAAATTATCTAAATCTGAACAAGTGTCAGTATTCTTACTCAAATGTCTGTTTAATTAGGAAAATAATACACATGTTCTTACTTATTTTGGGGATGCAGAGGTTAAAGAAAGCGGGCCTGTCATCAGAAGGTCGTTAATTCAAGTCCCCGGACCATCAACATCAAAATGTGGGTGGGAAAGAGGAAGCACCCACACCTGCATCCACCATTATTTGCCCCACCGTGGGCCCTTGAGCAAGGCCCTTAATCCTGACTATCTACTCCCTGGGGCTCCCTAGATGGCAGCTCTCTGCTCCACACAGAGAGCTGTGGTAGCTTTGTGGTCTGTTGCGCCAAGAAGGGCACCCGATATAAAAACAATTGCCATGTCTTCGTGTAAGATAGTTCTGTGTGGTGACCCCAGAAGAAGAGAGCAGCTGAAAGAAACAAGTCTTATTTTTTCATATTTTAAAAGCTCATAAGAGTGTTTAATAGGTGCGTACAAGTCAGCTTCAGGGCTAAAACTTGATTTTTTTTTTTCGATTTGAACTAAATGTCAGCCTAACTGACAAAAAAAAATTTTTTTTTGCAGATACTTCATCTTCTTATTTTTACTTTCTGTGATAAATTTAGGGATTAGCTTTCAATATGAAATTTAAATGTCAAGGGCAGCACGGTGGCACAACTAGTAGAGCTGCTGCCTCTCAGCGAGCAGGTCCTTGGTTCAAACCCTGGTCCAGGTGCCTTTCTGGGTGGAGTTTGCATGTTCTCTCCGTGCATGCGTGGGTTTTCTCCGGGTACTCCGTTTTCCTCCCACAGACCAAAAACATGCATGTTAGGCTGATTGATATCTCTAAATTGTCCCTAGGTGTGAGTGAGAGAGTGAATGGTTGTTTGTCTCTATGTGTCCCTGTGATGGACTTGCGACCCATCCAGGGTGTACCCCGCCCCTCGCACAGTGATTGCTGGACATGGGCACCGGTGACCCCCGTGACCCAAAATGGAACAAGCGGGTAAAGATAATGGATGGATGGATGGATTTAAATGTCAAAACAGAAGGTGCTGGTCATTTGGGACAAAAACAAAAACAAAACCAATGTCCCACGAGACTGAGAGTCTATAAATTTTTAACTATACATCTGAATTTTCTAGCTTTTATTTATAAAAAACAATTCGCCCTGGTAATTTTAAAGGTTTAACTGAACGTGTCCGTACAATATGGTGGGAAAACGGCACCAAACAGATGACCAGACGCTAACTTATTTAAACTTCATGCACATTTTAGTGGATGCTACATATGGCAGCAACTTATAACCTTTATGGTCAATAAAATTCCTTAATCAACAGCTCACCTCATATATTCACTTCACTGGGAATTTAATAAACCCTTTTAAAACCCTCTGAAAACACACAGCACATTATGGTGACTTCATTTGGTTGCAATAATTTACCAGTCTGCATTGGCTCTTTTCTTGAACATACACTTTGATCTTTACCAAATTATTGTGATAATTATTGACAATTTCCATTTTTTCCCCTTTTATTTAAATGTTAGCGAACACTAATATTCTGTGGACTGCTTCTCTTTGCCCAGAACACAGATGTTATTCTTTCTGCTTTTGTTTAACTGGGAAAATTTCTCTCAGATACCCAAATCAGAAACTACGAGATGTTCATAGCTGAGCTGAAATTATTAACTTTGTTAGGAAGCACAAATAGCTTAAAACTTCTCCCAGAAAACTGTTGACAGACAAATGGAGGGAGCATTTTATACCACACATGTTGTGGACATATATATTTTAGAAAAACCTGACAAGTATTTGATTGATCAACAACGACTGAACAAAATAGAAAAAAAAAAGATGTTAGGTAGCCAGATAAATAAAGTATAAAAATCCTGAAATTATTGTTTTGTTTACTTCACATTTGTTTCATTGCAGACAAAATTCACCCAACATTTTTTTATGTTTCACTTGTCATCCTAATTTGGTTTATTAGTGCTAATTTATTTCTGCATTTCAATCCTACAAAACAATTCTAATCAAGCATAGATGGAGGCAATTAGCAATGAGGTTTGGAAAATATGTTATTATGAATGCCTAATTATACTTTAATTTGGTGCAAAATGAATGATGGAGCAAAGGAAGGCCAGTTGGAGTTAGGAGATCAAATCTCTCCAGTTTTAGTTTCTCTCCATTGGCTTCCTCTCAAGTCCAGAATTGAATTCCAAATCTTACTTCTAACGTACAAAGCTCTCAACAACTTAGCTCCATCCTATATTAAAGTCCATATTGTTTCATACTTTCCCAACAGAGCACTTCACTCTCAGACTGCAGGCTTACTCACGGTCCCTAGATTTTCCAATAGCAGAAAGGGAGGAAGATCTTTCAGTTATCAGGCTCCTCTCTTGTAGAACCAACTTCCAGTTTCTGTCCGTGAGGCTGACACATTGTCCAGTTTTAAGACTGGGCTTAAGACTTTCTTTTTTGATAAATCCTATAGATAAGGTTGGCTTCTTATGCTGCCTTAATCTTAGACTACTAGAGGACAAATTGACCTAATTTCCTTAAAAGATTTGCTACAACTGAATAGTTTTCATTTGATATTATTTCTTTCTTAAAGTGATTCTTAACCTGCCATTGTGTATCTGTTCCTACCAAACCCAGCCAGTCAAAGCAGATCACCGCTTGTCCTGAGCCTGGTTCTGCTAAATATTTCTTCCTCATGAGGGAGTTTTTTCTTTCCACTGTCGCCTTCATGCTTGCTCAAGATGAGAGTCTGTGATGGAGTTAAATTCAAAGCAGTCTGCTCCTCAGATAAATAACATTAAATTATTATTTTTATATTTAAATGTTTCTGTTCAGTGCCCAGAGATGACTTCTGTTGTGACTTGGCGCTATTTAAATAAACTGAACTGAATACAGTTTGATTTTTAGTGCACATACTTGAAACCATTTGAACACATAAGTTGCA